TTGTCGACGACTTCACTCGTTACACCACAGTCTTTCCCCTGGAGCGCAAGGCCGACGTGCCTGGCGCCCTCATCCCCTGGCTTGTCTCTGCGCGTGTCCACCGCGGTCTCCCTGTCTTGCGTCTCCACTCAGACCGTGGTGGCGAGTTTGCCTCAGGTGTCCTTGGTCGCTTTTGTCGTGCGGAGGGCATCACCCAGACGTTCACCCTACCGGACTCCCCACAGCAGAATGGGGTCGCTGAGCGACGCATCGGTTTGGTCATGGAGGTCGCTCGCACCTCCATGGTCCATGCCGGTGCACCCCATTTTATGTGGCCGTTCGCTGTGCGCTACGCTTCTCACCAGCTTAACCTGTGGCCGCACCCTCAGCAGCCGCAGGTTTCGCCGACCCGTCTGTGGACTGGGTCTCCTGGTGACGCGTCTGCGTTCCACGTCTGGGGTTGCCTTGCTCACGTCCGTGCCTCCGGCACGGACAAGCTCACTGCCCGCACCCTTCCCTGCGTCTTCCTCGGCTTTCCCCTTGACGCGTCCGACTGGCACTTTTACCACCCGCCGTCTCACCGGTTCTTTCACTCTCGTGACGTCACCTTTGACGAGTCCGTCTCCTACTACCGCCGCTTTCCCCACCGTGGTCCCCCGGTTACCCCCCCCCTGTTCCTGGTCACCCCTTCCCCAGTAGTCCCTGCCCCTCCTCCTCCTCCTACCCGTCCCGCCCCCTCTGGTGTCTCCCACGTCACCCCCCTTCCATCCGTGGACCCGGTTGAGGAGTCTTCTGACTCTGGTGGCCCTCCGGTGCAGTCCTCGCCGGCCGCCCCTCCCAAGGTGTCCCCTCCCCAGTCCCCTCCTCCGCCGCCCCTGCCGCCGCTGCAGCCGTCGCCGTCGCCGCCGCCGCCGCCGTCACAGCCCCCGTTCGCTGACTCTGGGGGTGCTCGTCCCGGCCGCCCTGAGGGTGGTCCCTCTGGGGGTGCGGGTGTGGAGAGTGCCGGTGGTCGCCGAGGAGCAGCTTGCGGTCCAGGTGTCGCCGTTGTGCCGCCGCAGCAGCAGTCCCCACCGGTGTCCACCCTTCGCCTGCTCGGCCTCCCGTCCCCCGACCCTGCGTCGGTTCCTCCCCGACCGTCTCCTCCTCTTCCTGTCTACGGCCCTGTTTTCCCTCCGCCGGACTCGTCCCCGGCCCGTCTCCCCCCTCGTTCCCCTCCTGTGTCCCCTCCCCTGTCTCCTGACCCGACTCCTCCGTCCCACGTCTGGTCTCACCGTCCCTCCCGTGCTCGTCCTGCCTCGCCTGTCTTGCGCTCCCACCCTATGTTGCTTCGTTCACACGCGTCTCGTCCTCCCCTTCTGCCGTCGCCTCCTCCGTCCTCCCTTGTTGTTGCGCCCCCCCCGCTGTCCGACTACCTTCGTGCAGCTGGTCCTCTCGTTCCTCGGGTCCTTGCCTCTCTCGTTACCGACCCGTCTGTTCCGGTCTCCTGCCTTGACGCTCTTGTCGCTGCTGTCGCTGACTTCGCCTCTACCCGCCGCCTTGACTACGCCACCGCTCTGGTCTCTGACCCTGCCTGTCCTCCGTCTGTCGGGGGTGCTCCTGCCCTTGGCAGTGACGTCCTGGAGGACCGTTAGTTCGAGCTTGCTTTCCTCTCCGAGGCTGCTCCCCATCTCTGTTCCATGCTGCTAGTCCCTGAGGGTGACCCAGACGCTTTCGACATCCCGACCCCTCGCACTTACGCTGAGGCGACTTCGGGACCCTGGGCCTCGCAGTGGATAGCTGCCATGGAGCAGGAGATGGCATCTTGGAGATCCACCGGCACCTTCGTCGACGCAGTTCCCCCACCTGGGGTGAACGTAGTCGATGGCCGCTGGCTCTTCAAGGTGAAGCGCCCTCCTGGAGAGCCGCCTGTCTTCAAGGCGCGCTATGTGGCTAGAGGCTTCAGTCAGCGCGAGGGGGTGGACTTCTTCCAGACTTTCGCTCCGACCCCGAAGATGACTACTCTTCGGGTTTTGTTACACCTCGCTGCTCAGCGTGACTACGAGCTTCACTCCCTCGACTTCTCCACTGCCTTCCTTCAGGGCAGCCTACAGAGCAGGTCTACCTGCGCCGCCCTCCAGGCTTTACTGCCACCTTCCCTCCTGGGACCCAATGGCTCCTGCGGCGCCCCGTCTACGGCCTGCGCCAGGCTCCCCGTGAGTGGCACGACACTCTCCGTGCTACGCTTGCTGACCTGCAGTTCTTTCCGTCTTCTGCAGACCCTTCACTCTTCGTTCGTGCTGGCCAGACTCCGTTCTACATCCTCGTTTACGTCGACGACCTGGTCTTTGCCACAGCAGACAGTGACGCGCTGGCCTCCGTGAAGGCAGAGCTGCTGAAGAGACACACCTGCACTGACCTTGGAGAACTGCGCCGTTACCTTGGCTTGCAGATCTCCAGGGACAGAGCTGCGCGCACCATCACCCTGACTCAGTCACACTTGGTGCGCCAGGTCCTTTAGAGGTTCAGTCTTCAGTTCTCCTCTGCTCAGCCCACCCCTCTGCCTGTAGACCACAGGCTCTCCGCTCCAGTGCCTGAGGAGTTGGTAGAGCCCAGCGGCCCCTACGCAGATCTGGTGGGTTGCCTCATGTACCTGATGACTTGCACTCGCCCAGATCTCGCATACCCTCTCAGCATCCTGGCTCGCTTTGTGGCCACAGGCAGACACCGACCGCAGCACTGGTCTGCCGCTAAGAGGGTTCTGCGTTATCTTGCTAGTACATCGGGCATGGGGTTAGTGCTAGGAGGACGCAGGCCAGTGGTCCTTACTGGGCACACAGACGCTTCGTGGGCAGACGACGCTGAGACACTCCGGTCTACCCAGGGCTACTGCTTCAGCCTTGGCTCAGGTGCCGTCTCGTGGAGAGCTACTCGCTCCTCGTCTGTTGCACAGTCCAGCTGTGAGGCTGAGATCTACGCCGGTGCCATGGCGGCACAGGAGCTCCGCTGGCTGACCTTCTTGCTCACTGACTTAGGTGAGCGGCCTAGCTCTGCCCCGGTCCTGTTCGCTGACAACAGGGCCATGATCCTCCTGTGTCAGGAGCCTCGACTCGAGGGCAGAGCGAAGCACATTCTGCTGCGGTACTTCCTCCTGCGTGAGCTACAGCAGCGACGTCAGGCTCGCGTAGTACACTTGGCCTCAGGTGCCAACACGGCTGATATCTTTACGAAGGCGCTTGCGCCTAAAGATCATCAGCGGCACTGTGTACAGCTTGGTCTAGTTCCTGTAGCCTCTCACTTGCTAGGACCTTGACTTTGTACTATCCTTTATATGTATACTCAGACTGGACTTGTGTCCTCTCCCAGTGGCTGGACTAGTAGTGCCGCCCTGTTCTTGTGCTTGCCTTGTCTGTACTCCTTCTGACTGGTCACTCAGACCCTTGTCTCAGAGGTTGGACTAGTAGTGCCGCCCTGAGCTGCTTGTTTAGGACTTTCCCCTATGCAGTCTAGGGGGTGTGTCAAACATGTCTATTTGTTATGTTTGTATAGACTGTATAGGGTAGCCTCTTACAGGGTACAACGCTTAGCTATATTGTGTGTACTCTCTCTCTATGATCGACACTTGAATTTCTGATATTTTTAGCCTGAAATCTTAGACCCTGTCTGCAGGTCAATTTCTAGCGCAAAAACATATTCCTACAGAGGATTTAGATATAAAAGCGCACACGTTTCGGAAGGTTTCTACATTATATTTTGGGCGCTTCTAGGAGATGCCTTTTACGGTATATGTGCTCTTACACTCTATAAACGCCATGGCGATTAATAAACGGCAGCGCTTATATTCGGGGGGTTATGGTAATAATTTTCCTGAATGCAAGTATGTCATTTGAAGTGTGTGCAATGCATGTACATGCCCATGCAAAACATCTTGTTTTGAAGAGGAAATTTTACAAGATATACTCGCGCATAATATAGGCAGTGTAGAAACAAATGCGCGCTTCATTGTACAGCAGGTGCAGCTATTGTGAGTATGCAACCCGTGGGCACCCCCATGCATGCCACCATTGTTGGATGCGGCATTTTGTGGTTGGAGTGAAATGGCCTCAATGGACTCTCCACATATATGTGGCTAATAATGGACTTTCTGGAGCGTGCGAAATATCACTCAGGGTGGTTGTTCCTTCCAGCCCAGCACCAACACAGCACGAGGGAGGACAAGACAGCGTGATTGTCGACGAGCAGATTTTGCAATCTCGAATTCGTGGTCCAAATCACAATGCTGCCCCACTACTCATTGTTATCCATCGATAACCAAGGAAGAACCACAACTTCGGCAACTGATCGTCGTGTCATCAAAGTACTTATGATTCTGTCTGGTAAATCTGGATATTTGTGTGGCTGCTGTGCAACCATTCTTTCCGTATTGGATGCTAATGATAGCAGACAAGTCGAATTTGCTGGAGGGCAGAGGTTTGGAATGCATGTGAGGACGAATAGTAAAAGCTTTGATTTCCCCTGGTGCTATGTTTCGCGCACAATGTTTCTGTGTGGAACATAAAGCTCCCTAGTGATGTTACGACTCACGACCCCCTTGGTGAAAGTTGGGCAAACCTGGAAATCTGGTTGCCTTGAGTACCCGTGCCCGATAACAGCAACTTTTTTTGTTTTGCCACCATCCACGACTTCCAGTCCAGCTAAGTAGGGTATCTTGCGTCACTGTGTGACTTTTTTTCGGAGCCAAGGCGTAGGGGAAAAAAGGCAAGGAGACCTGTGGAGTGCCCAAAAAAGACGCGATTCGGTTGCGCTGAGTGCCTCCCTCAAGGCCAACCATTTCCCTCCCAGCGAAACTGGTGCTCCTCCTCTCCAAACACTCTCTCCTCCTCTCCTCTCCTCTCCTACCTCGTGCTTCTGATGTCGTCAGCTCGCTCCCTCACCTCGCCCCCATCAGATATGGCCCTCCCTCCCCCACCCCCTCGGGCCTCGCATCTCTTCTGCTGCTCTTTTCTGCCCTCTGCTCTTTTCTCGAAGTCAGAATCCAATGTCCTGCCACACAACAACACATCGCCTTCAACACTGCCTGAGCGCCTACAGATTACAACAGCTGCTCCCCAAGGACTGTGCTCTCTGCTGTCTGCCCTCGCCCCTTGTTCAAATCCGATGCTTGACAGCCCCTACTACTACTACTGTGCAATCCACTGAACGTATCACGCCAAACTGAACCTACTTTTCAATCCACGCGACTGGACTCCGCCAAACTACTTCTTCCGCGCCAGGGAGACTCTGAGAGTCTCTGGCGTCGTCGGCGTCATAGTCGCGTCGGATCGCCATGGAGTGTGGCTCGATCCTAGGCAGCATGCCTCCCGCGCTGATAATATCTCCGCCCATCCCCACGAAGGCCTCTTCGGTCTCCCTCGCGAGGCTTCATCGCAGCGCCACGCCCGGCGCTCCCAGCGCGAAACGCCAGCGCTGTTCGCCGAGGAGCGGAGGTGGCGTCGGTTCAGGGGAGGCGTTGTCGGCGGAGAATGCGGCGGAGATCCCGCCGCCGCGACCGAAAAAGTCCTGCTTTATTATGCTCGAGGAGGATGGGGACGACGATGATCATCATCATGATCATGATGCTGCTGCTGCCAGTATCGCAGCGTGGTGCGACGACGGAAGCTTCCCGGAAGAAGACATCGACGCGCTTTTTGTGGCTGGCGAAGGAGCATCGGCGAAGAGTCGGAGCCCTCGCGACAGCGACGAGCAGTCGGAGGAGCTGTCGCAGGGGGTTTGCGAGGCGTCGCAGGGGTCGCCAGCGTCGCCGCATGAGCGGCAGGGGAATGGCGGGAGTGGCAACAGCAGCGAGAGCGGGGAGACGTTGAGCGAGAAGCAGCAGAAGAGCTGCGAGGAGGGAAGTGCGAAGACGACGACGAGCAAGGAAGGGCGCAGCAAACGCAAAGTCAAGGTGAGAAGGAGAGGAAAAGCGCGTTATACCGCATTTTAGTTCACGCTGCGATTCTCGGAGTTCACATTCCGCATTTTACTTCTAACAAATGACCGCCATAAACAGTTGTAGTAACAGAGGCTTGAGCAGACTAGGCTGATCTCCGTAGTCAGCAAACCAATGCACGCCTCTCGAATCCATTCTCGTGCATCCGTACTAACTCGTGCTCCCTCGTATGATCCCCTCTGCGTGGCACTTCGCGCGGCGTGCCTCCGAATCGCAGGTGGACTGGACTCCTCCCCTGCACCGCCGCTTCGTGCAAGCCGTCGAGGCGCTCGGCGTCGAGCGCGCCATCCCGTCGCGCATTCTCGAGCTCATGGGCGACGCGACGCTCACGCGCCACAACATCGCCAGCCACCTCCAGAAGTACCGCTCGCACCGCCGCCACCTGCTCGCAAAGGAGGCGGAAGCCGCCACCCTGCACGCGCGCGCGCCGCCCCACGCGCCCCCCCCCGATCCCAGCTCCTGGACTCCGCTCCGCCGCGACGGCACCGCGTGGGTGCCCGCGAGCGTCGCGTCCGCTGCGCTCAGTCCGGGGAGTTCCTCCGCTTCCGCCGCAGCTTCCGCTTCCGCTGTCTCCGCCATCGCGGAGGGAACGTCCGCCAACGGCGCGGTCAGCGCGGCGGGTTCTGCCGCGGCTGCCGCGACGTTGCCAACCACTTCGCCGACGGGGGTAGCGATTTCCCCCGCGCATATGGGCGCAATTGGCGTGGCGCACGGAGGTTTATCGCCGAGCGCCAATGTGGCGGTGGGGTTTCCGCCGTCGTTCCCCCAGTCCTCCGCCGCCGCGCACGCGGGAATGCCCGCGCACCTTGCTGGCGCGGGGGCTGGCGGAGCGGCCCCCGGTTTGCTCCCCGGCGGAGGGCGCGTGGTAATCGGGCGACCCGTCGCCGGCGCGTGCCCCCCGCGCTCCCTGTTGCGCGTGATGCCTTCCGCCAATGGCGCCCCTGCCGCCGCTGCCTCCGCCGCGGGACCCTGCGGGATGAGCGGAACGATGATGGGCGTGCCGCTGCACCTCTGGGGGCGATCCCCCGGAGGGGGCGGGCAATCACACGCGAGCGCCCGCGGGTGGGGGAGCCTACAGGCGGGAGTGCCCGCGCACAGCTCAGCGGGAGGTGCAGGGGGAAGCGGAGCACTCATGATGGCGGGAGCGCCGTCGACTGGAGGATGGTACGGGAATAGCGGAATGGGTGGCGCTTCCCCCGGATATCACGGGTACGTGCATGCGCAGCAGGCGTACCATCCAAGCATGCATGTGGACGCATGGGGTCGACCCATAGCCAGCATGGAGCAGGGCCAGCAGCAGACCCAGCAGCAGCAGCAGCACCCATACACGCAGTACTCGCAGCAGCAGCAGCATCACCATCTGCACGCGCTGCCCCTGTCTCCGTACGTCTCCTCGTCATCATATGGTATGCCGTCCGCTGGCCATATGAGCTACCCCATGGCGTCAGCTACCTCTGCTGTTTTCCCCACCGCCGCCACTACTGCCGCTTCTGACGCCAGTGCTTCGGCTTTGGCTGCCGCTTCCGCAGCCGCTGCCGCTGGTGGTGGTGTGGGTGCCGGTGGGGGTCCTTACTCCAATGCCATGCTGACCTATCCTGGTGCAGCAGTAGCACATTCCCACCACCACCCGGGGCCTTTCCCCTCCTCGCCCTGCTCCTCCCTCGGCTCTCTGCCCGGGTTTCCCACTGCCAGCAGCAGCACCGCCACCACGTCCCACTCCAGCCGCGCCTGGTCCGATGCCAGCCATGCTGCTGCAGGGGCATCTGCAGGGGTTGCAGCAGCAACAGCAGCAGCACGAGCAGCAGCAGCAGCGTCAGTACCTGCTGCTGCTGCTGGTGCTGGTGGTGCCGCTGATGGGCCACTGAAGAAGCCTGGCTCTGATGCTGCGGGTGGGGCTGGTGAGCCGACGGTGAACGGCGCCCTTCCTGAGAAGCAGGCACAGCAGGAGGAGGAGAAGAAGGCGAAGCTGGAGCAGCCAGAGCAGCAGCAGCAACAAGCAGCAGCATCAGCAGCAGCAGCAGCAGAGGAGGAGGAGGAGGATCCGGAGGCCTTGTTCTCGGACTCCCTATTCCACGACCATGACGACCTGTCCCTGCTGCTGCACCTGCCCTCCTCGCCCACTGCCGACGACCACCACCACCACAGCAGCAGCGCCGACGCCGACGCGCTCGACCTGCTCAACGACTTCCCCTCCTATGCTGGGGCGGCTGGTGGTATGGGCCTCGGCGGCACCGGCATGGGCTTTGCCATGCGCATGGGGGGGGGGAGCATGGGCATGGGCGTGGGCACCGGTACGGGCATGGGCATGGGGATGGGGATGGGTGGGGCAGAGATGGGGATGGAGGGCGAGAGCGGCATGGGCATGGGTATGAGCATGGATGCAGCACTGAACCAGCTCATGTGGGGTGATGGCGGTGGCAGTGGCTCCTCCGCCATGGCTGGCAACGGCATTGACAATGAGCTTGTGGACTGCAAGCCGATCAACCCCGTGTGCCTCAAGCCCATCCTGCCACCGCCCACCAAGACCTACTCGTGACCTGTTACCTTCCCCTGCTGCCGCTGCCGCCGCCGCTGCTGCTGCTGCAACGGCTCCAGCCTCCCTCCTGGGCACAATAAAGCCTCATCTGCTTTGTTAGATAGCGCTCCCCTCTGCCTCGTGCCTGAGGTATAGTGATGCTTCCTCTTCTTTCCTTTCTTTCCTTCCCAGACACAGTGTAGCTCTTTCAATCAATGTGAAGGCACAAGCCTTACAAGTCAGTGTGTACAGTTGCTTCCTCTGAAAGGCATTTAGGAAAACACTGGTAACGAAGTACAGCACTCCTACTGGAACCACACATGAGCACCTCGTCATTCATGGAATGTGTAAGGAATTAGTAGTTCGTTAATGAAGAGCAATGCTAGCGGATACACCGAACCGAACGTACACGGCACCGGGCTAGGCCCTAGTGTCAACTTATACATATTATCTATGTAGAAGTTATAGGCTAGACTGAGGTATGCTTCTAGTGAGTACAACCAACTAGTATTTGTTCTAGGTTTCCACCTCTAGTAATCATTCGTTTCTACGTTAACATGGTATCACGCTTAGGTTAGGATCCCCCCGCCTACCGCTTCCGCCCGTCGCGCCTCCTAGGCCCCGTCGCGCCCCCTAGGCCCCGTCGCGCCCCCCCTGGGCCCCGTCGCGCTCGTTAGGCCCCGTCGCGCCCCCCCTGGGCCCCGTCGTGCCCGCTGGGCCCCGTCGCGCCTCCTAAACCCCGTCGCGCTCCCCCTGGGCCCCGTCGCGCCCGCTGGGCCCCGTCGCGACCCCTAGGCCCTAACGCGCCCCCGCTGGGCCCCGTTGCGCCTCCTAGGCCCCGTCGCGCCCCCCATGGGCCCCGTCGAGCCCGCTGAGCCCCGTCGTGCCTCCTGGGCATCGTCGCGCCTCCTAAGCCCCGTCGCGTCCCCCCCCCTCTGGGCCCCGTCGCGCCCGTTCGGCCCCGTCGCGCCCCTCCTAGGCCCTGTCGTGCCCGCTGGGCCCCGTCGCGCCTCCTAGGCCCCGTCGCGCCCCCTCTGGGCACCGTCGCGCCCGCTGGGCCTTGTCGCGCCTCCTAGGCCCCGTCGCGCCCGCTGGGCCCCTTCGCGCTTCCTAGGCCCCGTCGCGCCTACTAGGCCCCGTCGCGCCCCCCCTGGGCCCCGTCGCGCCCGTTAGGCCCCGTCGCGGCCCCCCTGGGCCCCGTCGTGCCCGCTGGTCCCCGTCGCGCCTCCTCGGCCCCGTCGCGCCCCCCCTGGGCCCCGTCGTGCCCGCTGGGCCCCGTCGCGCCCCTTAGGCCTCGTCGCGCCCGCTGGCCCCTGTCGCGCCTGCTGTTAGCGCTCGCCTGCCTGGCCTCCTAGTGCCGCTCGGCCTCCTCCTAGTGCCGCCCCGCCTCCTCCTAGTGCCGCCCGGCCCCTTCCTAGCGCCGCCCGGCCTCTCCTCAGCGCTGCCCGGCCCCTCCTCGTGCCCGACCGGCCCCAGCAGCACCAGCCTGGCCCCTCCCAGCACCAGCCCGGCCCCAGAGCACCTGCCCGCCTCCCCTGCTCGGCCTGCCGTGTCCTCTCGGGCCCTGTGTCTTCTGCTCGCCTGCGCTGGGACGCCTAGCTGCTGCCCTACTGGAGAGTGCTGCCGCCGTGTCCCCGCGCCGCTGTGCTCCTGTGCCGCTGAGGAGCTGTGCTGCTGCGCCGCTGTGTCGCTGAGGAGCTGTGCCGCTGACCCTGCACGATGGCTGACTTTGTGCTCCGCCTGGACGCTGAGGGCCACGCGGTTGACTTCGCCGCCTGGCTCTCCGATCTCCGCCGCCAGCTTACAGGTCAGCGCCAGGATGGCCACTCTCTGGTTGTCCATGCTGATGGCTTGCTCCCCCGTCCCCCTGCACCTACTCCCCTCCCTGCTGACCCCTCCTCTGATGACCGTGAGGCTTTCTCTACTGCTGCGCTGGCCTGTGCGGTCTGGGACTCACGCGATGCAGTAGCTCAGGTTGCTATTAGTCACGCCCTCCCTGTGTCTGAGCGCTCGCGTTTTGCTACTGTTGAAACGGCCAAAGCTTATTTAGACGCCGTTATTGCTCGCTATTCCACCCCTGCCTCCGCTTCTGCTGGCCGCTTGCTCTTTCCGATGTTGTTCCCAGACCTGGCTGCCTTCCCTACTGTCGCAGACTTTGCCACTCATTTGCGTGCCCTAGAGACTCGCTATCGCACTGCCAGCACTGCTGCCCAGCTCACTGCGCTCCCCCTTCCTTTCTGCATGACGCTCTATTTTATCGCTATGCGCCTGCCAGACCGCCTCGCTAGTGCTCGCGACCACTTTCTTAGCCAGCACCCGGGTGACCTCACCCTGACCGCCTTTGTCGACACCCTCACTGAGATCGAGACTCGCCAGCGCACTATCGCTCAGTCGAGCGGTGCGCCGGCAGTCTCTATCTTTCACGGCTGTGCCCCATCCCAGTGCACGTTCACTGACGTTTCGGCTGCGGTCGCCACGGCGACCCCTCTTACCGAGACGGCTGCTGCTGTCCACCCGCAGCAGCGCTCGCGTCGCGGTGGTCGTGGCCGCCAGGGAGGTAGGGGTGGTGACGCAGGTGGTAGTGGTCGTGGTGGTGGTGACGGTAGTCCGCCTGAGGGGACTACCACCGGTGGGCAGGAGCAGCAGCCCCAGCAGCAGCAGGACCAGCCCCAGCCGCAGCCGCCGTCCCAGCAGCACCCGCCGCAGCCGTGGGCTCGTCTCCCGCCTGGTTGGCCCGGCACCTCCGGAGGCGGTGGCCGTGGTGGCGGCCCGCGCAGCTTGGCGTCTACCAGCGGCTCCAGTGCTGTGACCTGCCAGTACCAGCTTCAGACCGGGCCTCTCCGCGGCACTCTGTGCCGCCGCCCGCACCCGACCGCCCGCTGTTTCCGCCGCCTCGACGATCTTTTTCGTCGTCGCTTTGGCCCGGCCCCGGACCTCCCTGACTGGCACAGCCTACTCCGCCAGGGCGTGCCGATCTTTGAGTTAGACATGGATCAGATAGGTGCTGCTTTGCATGCTTTGTATGCTGACGCTTCTAGTGTTGCTGTATCTTACTACCCTGTGTACTCTAGTTTAGGTGTTTCACCCTTGTGTAGCTTAGCTTCCCCTGCTGCGACAGGCGTAGGACTGCCTAGGTTGCCTAGTCTAGTCGCTGCACCGGCTCCGTCCCCGGCCTCCGCCACTGCGTCGCTGTCCTTCACTCTCGACTCTGGTGCTTCTGCCTGCTTCTTCCGCGACCGTTCCACGCTCACGCCGCTTGCTGCACCTGCTGTTGTCTCTCTCGCTGACCCCTCTGCGGGTCCGGTCGTCGCGCGCAGTTCTACGTCCCTTCCTTGTCCGGCAGTTCCCTCGGGCTCCCTTACTGGCCTCCACGTTCCCTCGTTCTCCAGGAACCTGGTTGGTGTCGGCTGTCTCCAGGACCTCGGCGTCACCACCACGTTCCCCGGGCACGAGCGGTTCGCTGTCTGTTCTGAGGCTGTCTCAGGTTCCCCCCTTGCGACGTTCCCCCGGGACCCGGTGTCCGGTCTGTTTACCCTACACACCGCTTCCCCCCGGTTGGTGCGTCCTCCCAGGTCGCTGCAGCTTGCTCGTGTCGGTCCCTCACTCACCCCTCCCTTCTCTGGCACCACCGCTTAGGTCACCCTGCTCTCCCGCGTCTGCGTCACATGTCCCAGCACGGTCTTGTCTTAGGTCTCCCCGCGTCGCTCCCTGCCCTTCCTCCCTCGACTGCGCCACCGTGCACGCCTTGCGTCGAGGGTCGGCTCCGCCGTGCTCCTCACTCCTCCTCGCTGCGTCCTGCTACTGCCCCCCTTCAGACCCTGCACTTGGACGTTTGGGGCCCTGCCCCCGTCCCCGGACCGCGCGGTGAGCGCTACTTCCTTGTGCTCGTCGACGACTACACGCGCTACACCACGGTGTTTCCCCTGGAGCGGAAGGCCGACGTGCCCGACGTTCTTCTCCCGTGGGTTGTGGCTGCGCGTCTCCACCGCGGTCTCCCCGTGTTGTTTCTCCACTCCGACCGTGGCGGCGAGTTCGCCTCTGGTCGGCTTGGACAGTTCTGTCGTGCGGAGGGCATCACCCAGTCGTACACGTTGCCGGACTCGCCACAGCAGAATGGGGTTGCTGAGCGCCGCATCGGCTTGGTCATGGAGGTCGCCCGTACCTCCATGATCCATGCCGATGCCCCCCATTTTCTGTGGCCGTTCGCTGTTCGCTACGCGGCTCACCAGCTTAACCTGTGGCCACGCTCCCAGCGGCCGCAGGTTTCGCCGACCCTCCTTTGGACCGGGTCCCCCGGTGACGCGTCTGCGTTCCACGTCTGGGGCTGCCTTGCTCACGTTCGTGCCTCTGGCACGGACAAGCTCACTGCCCGCACTGTCCCCTGTGTCTTCCTCGGTTTCCCCCTGGACTCGTCTGACTGGCTTTTCTACCACCCGCCGTCTCACCGCTTCCTCCACTCTCGTGACGTCACCTTTGACGAGTCCGTCTCCTTCTACCGCCGCTTCCCTCACCGAGGTCTCCCAGTTGCCCCCCCCCTTTTCCTTGCTCCCTCTCCCCCGGTAGCCCCTGCCCCTCTCCCGCCTCGTCCTGCCCCGTCTGGTGTCTCCCACGTCACTCCCCTCCCGTCAGTTGTCCCCGTTGAGGAGTCTGCTGACTCTGGTGGTACCCCCGGTCCGTCCTTGCCGCGTCCCCCTTCCCCGGTGCCTCCGCCCCCACTGTCGCAGTCGCCGACCCCGCTGCCGCCGCCGTCGCCGTCGCCGCCGCAGCCGTCGCCGCCGCCGCCGCTGTCGCTGCCGCAGCCGTCGCCGCTGTCGCCGCCGCCGCAGCCGTTGCCGCCACTGCCGCCGCTGCTCTCGGCCCCTGGGGGTGCTGGTGTGGAGGAGGGTGTTCGTCCTGCGGCTTCTGGGGGTGCCGCTGGTGTTGGAGGGGGTTCTCGCTCTGGGGGTGTTGGTTCTGGGGGTGCTGCTGTTGAGTGTTCTGCCGACGGTCGTTCTGCCTCTGCTGGTCCGAGAGTTCCGGCCCAGCCGTCGTTGCCGCCGCAGCAGCCGTCGCCGCCGGTTTCCGCTCTCCGCCTGCTCGGCCTTCCCTCCCCGGACCGCGCGCCGGTGTCTCCCCCACCGCCTCCTGACCTTCCTGTCTACGGTCCTGTGTTCCCGCCGCCAGACTCGTCTCCGGCCCGTCTTCCTCCTCGTTCCCCTCCTGTGTCTCCTCCGCTGTCCCCTGACCCTAC